GTTGAACGTGGTCATGTAGTACTCGGCATTGGCCGATGCCGTGCACACGCAGAGTCTGTAGGTCATCTTCTGGGATACGCAGATGTGAGTAGGAACACGAGTCTGGATTGCTGAATCGATTGCTTGACTAAAACGGTGGCAAGAGCGGGAAGAAGAGAGAGAGAGAGAGAGAGAGAGAGAGGTGTGAGAGAAAAATGTCTTAGGTGTCTTGAAGTTACGGACAGGCTGGGGGTCAAATATATATATGTTTTTGGGGAATAATTGGCTTTGGTGTTGAAATGTTGGGTGATATCTAAGTACATCGTGGAATTCTTTCGTGTCCACGCTTTTTTTGTTTCGGTTTATGCCGTATGTGGTACATTCTTTCGTGGGCGAGTTGCGTAGGCGCAAGGGGAGATTGTCTACTCCTCATACTGTTCCCGTAGGCGTGTTCTCTGCATCGGGTTATCCTTGTACGCCATGAATTGCCCCCAGCAGTTGGTGCTGGTCGCGGGGTACTCGTCGATATTGTCCGTGACGTACAGCCCCGTTGCGTCAAGTGTGACATTTTTGGTTGTCAGAAATCGTTCCTTTTCCTGCACTCGCCCAATGGGTGGGATTGTTGGAGTCTTGTATGCTCCACTACGCGTACTTTCCATGAAACCGTCCTCTGACTTTAAGGTGGATGCCACGCTGTATGACGAGGGCGCCGCGGCAATACTCTTTCCAAAAGATAGTCGTTTTTGGCGTGGTTCCGTCTTTGCAGAGAGACCCATTGTGCGACGCAATGCGTCAGTTTTTTCACGCCGCTGTGATGTGCCTTCCTTGTCAAGGATATCTTTGAGTGTCATGGTGGCGGCTGCGCTGGTTGGGTCCGTGTAGCTGAGCTCGTGTACCGTAAACTGATGTTTTGGAGGCGCTTTAATATCACCTTGATAGAACAGCAGTTCGGCCGGTGCCTCTGAGCAGAAGCAGCCAGGCGGTTTAGCGGCGAACAGTTCCTCATCGTTAGCGGGGCCTTTGTACGACCCTTTGTAGGTCGTGATGTTCTCTAATGGCTGCTTTGCCGGATCTTTGAGGCCGAATGACGTGCGTTCCTCCTGCCAGTTGCCCAGCAGCGTGGCGCAGTGGTACTCGGACTTGTGCCCACTTGGACCAATCAGGCGAATGCGTAGGCGTGGATTCTGTGGCATGTGCGACAGGGGCACCACACGGACTATTTATATATATATATATTTCGTCCTACAAAGCAAATAGTTGCAAGTGAGGGAGAATAGGAAGATCCCAGCGCACTCATTACAGAGAGAATCATAAACAGTAAAACAAAAAAAAATATCAGCGAAACAGTCAATGGCTCCATGAAGGAGCACTACAGATTCCAATATCCCGCCGTTCTTCTAACTTTCTTTTTTTTCTCTTTGTGTGTGTTTCTTCTCGTATTACAGTACCGCCTATAATTGGGTGTACGAATGAAGGTAAAAACAAAAACGTTTTCTTTTTCTTTCCTTTGCCTTCACCGTCGGCACTGCAGAAACGGAGAAAAGGCCTTTGCAAACAACTTATCTTCACCACCGTGTGTCGATGCACATGAGTGTGTGCATTCGTGTATGGTCAGCGTCAAAACAATACGATGCGCCACCATCGAGCCAATCTACCACACCATCAAACATCTCCGCTTCCTCTGTGCCCTCCACCTTGGATTGCTGCGCCTTCGCGTGGTTGAAGCGGTCCAGGTCGCCGTTGACGCTCTCGAGGAGCTGCAAATCCTCCTCCGACGCCAGTGCCTTGTTGAACAACTGGCGTCCTTTGCGGCGCTCCACTCGGCAGAGCGTCAGTCGATAGTTCCCGCTCGTCCCTGCGAGAAAGCCGTAGGGCAAGGCGACGCCCAGCGAACTCGAGAAAAAGAGCGGCCGCCGCTGGTCCCACTGCAGCTGCTCCTCCACGCTGGTGATGGGAGTTCCACGANGCCCAGCGAACTCGAGAAAAAGAGCGGCCGCCGCTGGTCCCACTGCAGCTGCTCCTCCACGCTGGTGATGGGAGTTCCACGAAACAGCAGCATTGAGTGCCATTCCCCATCTTCGAGAGGGGGCGGTGCGTACACACGCACACATGTTACCTCGAAACGTGACGAGGATGTCTTCCGAAGCTCCGTTTCGCGTATTTGCTCCAACACACCATCAACGAGGTGCCGCGGGGTGCCGCTCTGCTCACACACCTCCCTCACAGTAGGGGAGGCGGCAGATAGACTCGAAAACACACCAAGGGGCTTAAGGGAGAGAAGCGCATGACGTCGAAGAGTCATTGTGAGCAACATTAAAGCTGAAGTGCATCCAACCCGAGTTGCCCAACGCATGCGATGCGAAAAGACGACTTCCCTCTCCCCGTCCTTTACGCAGCCATAGTAAGAATGAGAGAACAGAATTGAGGAACAAACAAACAAACAAACAAAAAACAGTGATTGAGGCACACGAAGAAACGAAAAAAAAAAAGAAAAAAAAACAAAAAAAAAAAAAAAAAAAAGAAAACTGGATACCTCACTTTGAATATCCCGCTCACCCCACTCCCCTTCTCTCTCTCTTTATTCAATACTGACAAAATGTTTTGTTAGAATGACGGTTATGACAACTTCAAATTACAGCAACATGACAGAAACAAAATTACCGTGAGTGTGTGTGTGATTGCATATCTTTCTGCTCTGCGAGCCTGTGGTAATAGACGTCGTTGAAACGGTTGCGAACTGCGATAGTGGTGGTAATGTTATTTTCCCCATTGTTTTCTGTTACACTGGGGGACTTTCGAGTGGGGTCCGTTGGAGAAGGTCTAACTTTGCTGTCGGACCCGCCCCCTAATTCCCTCCACGCGGCGGAGTATGGAGGTGGTGGGGCCTGGAGATTTTCCCGTTGCTTTGTTTGAATATTCATTTGGAGAAACGATTATGAAT